CTACCATGGAATCCTGTTGGAGCTGGTCTACAGAAGCAAGGTGTATTCTGGGGAGTCACATGTCACATCAAAGCAGGAACTGGTGTCTGTATTTTTATGGAGCCTAAAACAAAGAAAATTGTAAGTTGAAAGCCCCCATTGAGCTGTATGACCTTTTTCCCAGGGCTATTTGGGATATTTTGAAGATAATCACATAGTCAAAGCACTATGTTATTTCCCAGCTCACCTAGCTAGAAACAAAGGATAAACTGCAAATTACTGGCACATAATACACGGTGCTAAAATAAAGACTCATGCTGGTTCACATCAACACTATCACAGGTCTTGTCACCTCTGAGGGATATTTTGACTCTACAAAGCATACCGTGAGTAGTGATTTCTGCAAGTAGTATTTCTTCCACCATGTCACACAGAAACACTCAGGGAAAGAATATGTGTTCAAGATAACACAAAACATCAACATACCATTCCCCAAAGAACGTGCACAATCCAGAGGCAAAGGCTTCCTTTTTCAGCAAGTGGCTGAAGTTACAAAGGGCTGCTGCAATATCACATAAGGGGCTTTTAGCCCTGTGAGAAACAAAGCACCCAGGGAAACCAGGTGCCCGGGGAGATCCAACACCATCACCCAAAATACAGACGCATGGCTATTTCAGAGCAGTCATGGCTAAACTTCACAGAACAGCAAATCTGCACAGCCAATGAACTGAGTTATTAGTTTGATCATTTCTCTTTTGTTTTTGAACACATGTTCAAAAGGACTTTTGTCATTAAGAACTATCATTTCCTTGTTAAAACCTAAACTGTTTCATATTAGCTAATCTCTGATACCTTGCTGACCTGACAGTGGCACTTTTAGCTTTAGACTAAAAACAAAAGCACGGAGTATATACCTTAGAAACTATTGGCAATGACACACGTGATTCAACCCAGGAAGGGTAGGCCCCGCTGTTTTCTTTATGGCTAGGCAACAGCTGCCTGGATGGTACCTAGAATTCTCTTTTGAGGTGCAGTGAAGCCTCATAATTCCCTTAATCCCCTTAAACAAAGAGCCAAGCCATAGAATGCTTTGCAATCCCAGCCGTTGACAATATTTCTTGGTTACCTACACAGTATAGTAAAAAATCTCACCAGCAGCCTGGCTAGGAGGCCCTGGAAAAGTTGCAACTCCTCAAGGCCACCAGGTGATTTACTTGTAAACTGAGGGAGCTGGACTAAGGTTCCTTCCAGCTCTGTAAGTTTGAGATTCTTAACTAACTCAAGATTTTATGAGGGGAAGTCCGAGAATGAGAACAGTTAGGCAAAAACCCAAATCTATCTTGCACCCCCAGTTCTTAGGCAAGGAGACAAGTGCCCCCTTCCCAAGGCTTGGTCCTGCCAGACAGCTGCAGCAGCTGCAACACAGCTGCACATGATAGTGAGCACACATCCACTGGGCACAAATCCAGCAGTGTACATCTTATCGTGAAAAGGCCAAGGCCTTATTCTCTACCACAGCACTCACACCCACCCTTGGGATGGGAGTGGGGATGCTGCCCACCCCCATCCCTGCTTGCACTCGGTCCCCCACACACTACACCTACATCAAAGTTTCGGGGCCAGGCAGCTCTCGAGCAGAGAAGGTCCCTTCAAGACATAGGCAGAAGAGAATGGGGAAGGCAGAGAGCACAGCTCCGAGACAGCAAGCCCAGGAAGGAGGGCGCCTCTGATTTGGGGCTCCGAGGCAGGCCAGCAGCAGTGTGGCTGGAAGGGCCTGTGCTGAAGCTGAGGATGGGCCCTTTCAGGGACCAGCAGCAGCGCTCCCCCCAGCATGAAGACTGTGTCTGCCTGGCCTGCACGGATGACACTGGAACAGCAGGTGGGAAGAACAAGCAGGTGTTCCTGCACACGCCTTGGAATGCACCAGGTCAGGGCCGAACTTGACGCTCGCTCGTGTGCTACTACAGCGCCAAACATTTTCTCCCCAGAGAGAACTCAGTAGCCTGGTGACAAACTGCTCTTGGCCAATTAGGAGATTCCAACTGATAGTCACCTTTATAAAAGACTGGGTTCCAGAGCACATCACTTTTTATGCAAATAGCCCTGGAAGCAGTGGAACTCTGGCAAACAAGTTTACCTCTGCTGTTCTTTATTGTAGGTTCAAGCAATGAGCTCCTGGGCCATCTCCACATGGGAGAAGGCCCATTCTGGTGGGCACAACTCTTACTAGACTCATGGAGCCAGGTTTCTTTTCAAACTCCATAGCCTGCCCCCTGCCCCATTAGATGAGGTCCCACAGGGACAGAGAGGCAGGGGAAATAGCTCTGTCTAGAAGCTACAAACATAAGCACAGAATGCAAAGTTGTATCAGGGCCCTCCAAAAACACTGGGGTCTATGCCCTGTCTGGACCTCTCTCAGGGTTCAGCAGGCGGCGAAACCACTGAGCTAAATCCCCAGCCCCCTCTCAGGGTTCAAAAGGGAACAAGAGTAGAGTAGAGAGGACTACATAATGCTTTCCTTTTTTTTTTTTTTTTGGTACCAGAGATTGAACTTGGGACAGGTGCCGGAACCACTGAGCTAAATCCCTGGCCCCTACATAGTGCTTTCTTACTAGGTGAAACAAAGACTTGGTATTCCAAATGTAAAGCACTCAGGGCAAACTTTTAGCAACAAGAAATAGAACAGGGTGACAGGCCAGTACCAGCAAGAAAGCCATACATGGTTTCTCCCAGCTGAGGGGACATGCTGGGCTTTAGATGCCACTGAGGTCAGCCACAGGCCCTGTGAGGGGAACCTCTACTTTGGAAGCTGGCCGCACCGATTCAAGGGAACCTGAAGGGGTGCATCTGAAAGCAAAGCAGAGACCTCCACTGGTCCTGCATCTGGCTCAGATATACAAATATGGGAACCCTCATCTAGTGAGGTGAGCGTGTATGCACACGTGACTGTACCCCAGTGACAGCCATCTAGTTGACCTGACACTGAGTGATCTATGACAACTTACTTTATTTTTTTGTACCAGGAATCGAACTTGGGTCTGTCCTTGTGCTTGTGAGACAGGCGCCAGAACCATTGAGCTAAATCCTGGCCCACAACTTACTTTACTCTAATCAACTATGCTCCCACCAGATTTTGTCTTTTAAGGTTCTGATGTAACCAGGCAACAAAATAAAAACAAGACTTTCCTAGGGTTCCTTACTGGGATTTGAAGTAGAAATCCTGAAAACCCCATAACTAAGCCCATTTCCCTTTATGCCTAGTGGAAATTCCCAAAAGACCTAAAAAACCCAGACCCTGTCTTTTTATACAGACCCAGCATATTTCAAAAGACCCAAGAAGTTACCTTAATCTTGCTATGAAATGAAATTGCTGAGATCCAGATGAAAATTCTAGCCACAAAACCCAAAATTCTCCTCTTGAGTAGTAATTGCTTATTAGTGTGACTTTACTACCCAAACCCAAATATGCTTTATTTTTATAGTGTAACAAAACAATGAAAACGTGTGAGAGTCACACACCTCAAGCCACTTAGCATTACGTACCAGGACATTTGGTGCCTCAGTCACCAAGCACCCCTGAATTTGATCCTGTTATGTCAGACTTTGGGCCAACGATCTCGAACACTGGGAGGTACAACGTGCAAATGGCTTGGCAGAGCTCATTTGTGTTCCTGGAAAAATAACTAGAAGCATACATCTGTCTGATCGTGAGTCAGGAATATCAATTTTGAGGGAGGGCCCATTTCTGCCATGACCAACCCACACCTAAGCCATCATGCACACCAGAGGTATTCCCAGTAAGGCCTCGAAGGGTCTCCCTTGTGAAAGCAACCTTTTCAGACTCTGGACAACGACCTTAAGTCTTGGCGGGGGGCGGCGGCACAGGAACATTACCACGGCTCTGTAAAAGTCACCTGAATTTTAGTTTGGGTGATTTAGTCATAACCAAAGTGAAAAGAGAATAAACTTTCAGAGGTAATTGACAGGAGTCAGAGCGATGCCATGAGCTTGCCCCTTCTCACCCCTTTCTGGTCCCAGTAATCCTGAGCACTCCAGGACGATGAAAGCCCGTCACATACTATGTCCCACTCCACTTATGTAACTGGAAGATCGCCGGCGGGGGGGTGGGGGGTGAGAGGGCGCTCGGAGTCCAAAGGCACGGCACCCCAAGAACCTCTGTGCACCAGGGGGCACGCTCTCGGCCCGGAGCCTTAGCTGGGCCCGGAGCCTTAGCTGCCGTTGGACGCAAGGTCCCCGCCCTCAGGTACTGATGGGAGCAGAACCAGCTCCATAGGATGAGCGATCGCTTGTCGGCCTTTTGGCTAAGATCAAGTGCATAGGATGAGCGGTGGGATCCAGGCACACGGTGTCCGTTCCTCGGCCAGGGGAGGGGGGCAATCACCTCCACCGACCGCCTCCGGCTACCCGGGTGAAGGAGCTGGCAGACTGGTCCGCTAGCAGCAGGAGCAGAAAGTCATGGAATGGGCGAGAAGGGGGGAGGCAGAGCCCGGAGATGGGGGTGAGCGCGCAGGAGCCCTTGTGGCGCACTCTCCCGACGGGAGGCGGACTGCGCACGCGCGCCGGTGGGGGGGCCGAGTAACGGGAGAGGGGGCGCGCGAGGGAGGGAGCGGGGAGAGCGCGATCCAGAGAGAGGCCGGGGCCGCGGGCGCGCGACGGCGCCGCGGCCCAAATCCCCAAGAAGGACAGGAGCGCGCGCAGCCCGCCCGACGAAGCCCCGGCGACAGGGGCGCCCGCGGGGCCGGTGCTAAGATGCGCGCAGAGAGCGGGCGGCGCCGGGTGAGGATGGCCCGGGGAGACTGCGCCGAGGACGTTCACCTGCGTGTGCGGGTGACAGGCCGAGGGGAGAGCCGCCACCGGCGGGAGGGGGAGGGTAGAGAGGAGGGACGCCATCCGTCAGCCTTATCGCTCGACCCCGTGGGCCCCTCCCGCGCCACGTCCCGCCCCTACCCCCCCGCCCTCCGGCAGGGGTCCCCGCCCGCGGGCGCGGCGGTCCCACTCACAGTCTCTCCTCCTCGCCTCCTCCTCCTCCTCCGCTCGGCGCGGCGGCGGCGGCGGCGGCGGCGGCAGCCATTTTCGGGACAGCTTTTACCACAGCCCTCTCTCCGAGAGGAGGGAGCGCGCGCGCCGACGCCGGGACCCCGCACGGCGGACGTCGCGCCCCGCCCTCCCGGCCAGTCCGCACGCTGCTGCACCTGCGCGCCCGCGCCCCGCCTTCGGCGCCGCCAGGAGCCTGCCCTCCATTGGTTGCCGCAGCCGGGCTGGGGTGGGGTCTCGGCGGAGGCGCCCTCCATTGGCGAGAGTTCCTGTCCGTTTGGGCGAGGGAAAAGGGGACGGACCCCTGTCCCGCCGCCGATTGGTTGCCTTCGGCCGTCATTTGGGGACCAGAGGCGGCTTGGCCACCGAAGGGCTGGTTTAGTGGGCGGAATTTGAACGTTAAGGATTAATGGGCCCTCGCGGCCAGTGGGGAACGGAGAGGGGCCGCTGTGTGCGCAGCTCTACTGAGAGGCTGACCTGCAGTACACGAACGCACCCAGTATGCTGCCGCACGCGTCGCTCTGAGTAGGCGTTTTGTCACCATCGCCGCCTTCGGTGGCAGCACCGAAGTCGCCTGCCCTGGAGCTCGACTTAGTTCGAGCCAGGGACTTGGTTTAAGAGGCACAGCGATGGCATCTTTCACGCGAGCCTGCCAGGCGACACATTCCCCCAGGGGAGGAACAAACTGCCCTGGCGGAACTCGGGCGTGGGAAGCAGGTGCGACCTGTCACTTCGAGCAGGTGGCTCAGCGGAGGTGTCTGGAGGGGCGGGGGAATCGCGGAGGACGCGGGGCTCGGCACTGCTTGCGAGACACTGTATTGGGAGCTGAGACCCAGCGGGTCACCTTCCGGAAGGGGAGACTTGGAGCTAGTGGCCAGGAGTTCTGCTTCGGAAAAATCCTGAGAGCACTGAAAGAGTTTGGGGCAACACGGTGCTCGGGACAGGAATGCTTGTTAAGGCGACCTCTCCTGATACCAGTCAGCACCCAGGCACCCAGGGCCTCTTGTACCCTTGGTATGCTTAACAAGGAGTCTTCCGGGTCCGAGGGGGCATCTCGTTTCTTTATTGAACACCTGCATGTGCCAGGCACCGAACCAGGCTCTGAATGCGCAGTACCGAGTGAGACGTGAGACAGAGGAGTGTCATTCTTATGGGGACGATGTCTGCTGAACATACAGATAAATACAGCGTGACTGACACAGCGGAGGACTCTGGATCCCACCTACCCACTAGCTTTACCCTGCGGCACTCGCCCTTGTGGAAGCTTGGAAAAGAGCATCTCCAGCGGCCTGGCAAGTTGGGGACCAATAAGGAGGCCACTGTGGCTGGACAGTCTTAGGGAATGTGGTTTGGAGAGGCGGCCTGGGGAAACTGGGAGTTTATTCCAAGATGAGTCCTTGGAAGGGCTTTGAGCTGGAGCCGACACCCTCAGACCTGTGTTGAACTGGCTGTGGTGGAGCAGAACTAGGCACGAGAGCCCCAGCGATAGTGTGTGACAGAGAGATGGTGCTGGTTTTGCAGGGAGCATGGGGTTCTGAGAAATTGTGTGTTTCCCTCATTTTTGACAAAGGAGGCAACCATCCTCACTGGAGGAAAGATAGCCTCTTTAATAAATAGTCTTGGAAAAACTGGATTTCAACCTGCCAAAGATTAAAACTAGACCCATACCAGGGCCAGGGATTTAAGTGGTTCCGGTGCCTGCCTCGCAAGCGCAAGGTCATGAATTCGATCCCCGGTCCCCCCCCCCAAAAAAACTAGACCCATACCTATCACCATGCACTAAACTAATATCGAAGTGGATTAAAGATCTAAATATTAAGACAGAAACACTAAACTTAATGGAAAATAAGTTAGGTAGAACTCTTGAAGACATTGGCATAGGAAAAGACTTTATGAACAAAACCTCAGTAGCACGGGAACTAGCCCAAAGAACCAACAACTGGGATCTCATCTTATTAAAAAGCTTCTGCACTGCAAGAGAAACCACCAACAGAGCTAAGAGACAACCTACAATGTGGGAAAAATTTTTTAGCAGCTGTACCTCAGACAAAGGTCTACTAACTAGAATATATAAAGAATTGAAAACAATCAGACCCCCCCCCAATTCAAAGACCCAATTCAAAAATGGGCACCTGAAATGAACAGACATTTCTCGGACAAAGAAGTAAAAGCAGCAAATAAATATATGAAAAAATGTTCAACATCACTGGTCATTCGAGAGATGCAGGTGAAAACAACACTGAGATTCCTCCTCACCCCAGAAAGAATGGCTGCTATCAAGAAATCAACCAATAACAAACACTGGTGGGGGTGTGGGGAGAAAGGAACCCTTCTCCATTGTTGGTGGGAGTGCAGACTGGTGCAACCACTGTGGAAATCAGTATGGAGATAACTCAAAGAACTAGGACTAGAGGTCCGGTTTGACAGAGCTATTCCCCTGCTGGGTATCTTCCCAAAAGAACAGCGATATATGTGCACCCATGTTTATGGCAGCACAGTTTGTAATAGCTAAAGCTTGGAAACAGCCCAAATACCCATCAACTGGAAACTGGATAAAGAAGAAATGGGGTTTTTTTTATAAAATGGAGTACTACTCAGCCATAAAGAATGAGAAACTAGAGACATTTATAGCTAAATGGATGCACATTGAGGCCATCCTCTTAAGTGAAATAAATAGGACACACATGTATAAATACCAAATAGTTTCTCTGGTGTGAGAAACTGAAAGTGTAATTAGGGATTAAAATGATTAAAATGAATAATTGATAATTTGAAATATTAAAAGGTCCAAACGTGTAGGGGTGGTGGGAGGGGAAGGGGAAAGGAAAGAAGGGAAAGGAAAAATTATGAGAAAAGAAAAAAATGGAAAAGAAATTGTGTGTTTCAAGATATATCTTCATTCTAGGCCTGGTGGTGCACACTTGTCATCCATGAGAAGAGAGTGAGAGAGAAGGAGGAGAGAAAAAAAAAGAAGAAAGAAAAAAGAAAGGGAGTGTGAAATCCATGCAAAGCTAGGGCTCCAGCATGAACCCTGACTAGCCCTGAACAGTTTCTCCCTCATCCTAGCCTGTGGGGTTGTGATCCGCTCTCCACAGTCCCCTGCCCTGCACAGAGGACAGCCACATTTGTCCCAACAGCACATGAAATCAATCCACAATAGCTTTCCAGCCATTCTTTATTAGACACAAACCCACCAGTGAGGATCATCAGAAATGGAAAGAAAGCTTTCAACTTGAAAAACAGGCAAGATGAGCACAGAGAAAAATGAACTTGGAACCCCAGAAACTGCAAGGCATATATGAAAACATTTGTAATTACTATATTCAGAGAATTGAAAGAAAATATATCCATAAAACAACAGAATACTGTATAAAAAGAGCAATCAAAGAACAGTAAAGAATTTTTAGAAATTAAAATATGCTTATTGGGCTGAGGGTGGAGCTCAAGGGGAGAGGGCTTGCCTAGCATGTGCAAGATCCCAGGTTTAGTCCCCAGCACTGCAAAAAGTAATTATTGAAGTTTGAATTCCAACAGAAAATTTGCAAAATAAAACTGAAGAAGCCACCCAGAAAATAGAGCAAGACAGCTGAGACAAAATATATGAGAGAAAATGTAAAGACTTTGAGGATTGATCTAGGAAGTCCAACAAGCAACAAGAATTTTTGCAAAGTAAAACAGAGGAAAAACAGGAGTCAGAATAGCAGTAGATTTCATAATAACACTGGATGATAGGAGATAAGAAGCAGTGAAGTTCTGAGATATTGTATGTTTCAAGAGAAGATGATAAGGTAATGCTTTCAAAATTCCATGGGAAATGATTTTTTTTTGTACTGGGGATCGAACTTGGGACCTTGTGCTTGTGAGGCAGGTGGCCACACCACTGAGCTAAATCCCTGGCCTGGAAATGATTTTTAATATAGACTTCTATACCAGCTATAACCCCTACCAAGTATGACAATGGAATAAAAATAGTTTTAGATATACAAGAGCTAAGAAAATGTACCTATCAACAATGTTGTTACAGCTGTATCTAGATGTCCTCCCAAAGCCTCGTGTGGTCATAGGTGGGGCTTTTCAGAGGTGGCTGGATCTAGAGTGTGTGATGCTAGGATTATGGGTGTGTGATTACTAAATCAGTCCACTGATTGGACTGGCATAGTTCTGAGCATGGATAATGGGAAGGCCACCTGAGTGTGAGTGCTACCCACCCTAAGAGCATGTAGCCTGGATAGAATATAAAGGATAGAAAGAGGGCTGCTATTGTCACTTCTGGTTTGTTACTTGCTCCTTCTTCATTACTTTGCTGCTTTGCTGCCTTCTGCCCACCATGAACTGTCATACCATCCTGTGTGACACCCCCTGCCGTGCCACCCTGCCTTGGACCCAGCCAACTATGAACTGTAACCTCTACAAACTGTGAGCCAAATAAACCTTCCTTCCTTTAACTTTGGGTGTCACTATTTTGTCTCAGCAACAAGAAAAGCAACTAAGACATATGGTTTCTGAGAAAGTTACTTGAGGATGTTCTGTAGCAGAACAAGGATGTGAACCAAGAAGGAGGACGCCATGGAGTCTCTTCAACAGGGGATCTACACCAGGAAAGTAGAGACAAGGAATTTCCAGGGACACCAGCTGGGCAGAAGTCCCAGTGAGAGGCGGATGGTAGGCTTTGGAAGAGAGGCATCCAAAAATTAAAAACACATTTCTTTTAAGAGTACAGACATCAACTCAACATATTGTGATTGGTGTGATTGGGAGTTCAAAGAAGCTGGATATAATGATGGTAAATACTACAAGAAAATAAAAACAATTAGAAACATCAGAATAGAGGTGTACAAGAAAGATCTGATCAAAATAAGAAGCAAAGTGAAATAAATCCTAATTTCACTGATGCATGGTGTGGAAGAAAAGTTAATGCATTGGAAACTTGATGGTAGGAATGTTCTCTTTTCAGATGGCTTACAGGTCAACAAATTGAACTTTTGAGAGGGAAATGTAATCCTAGTCTTCCTCCTCTTGACCTGGCATTGGAAAATATATCATAAAGTGAAGTTTTGCTTATGGTTGTCAACTCTGAGTCAACTTATACACAAAACACAGAAGGATAGGTTTTAGTTGCAGGATAGGGTT